TTTGTGTTATCTAGTTTCAACCCGGAGGCAAGCCCTCTGACGTTTAAATTCTTACCCTCCTGACCTCATCATTGAGGCCACAACACGGGGCCCCCTCTTCCCAGAGAGCCCTTCTGCTTTCAACATCAGATTAACCTTCATTCGGGAGCTATCAGCACTCTGAAGGCCCTCCCTCACAGCTTTTATTCCTGCTCCTATTTCCATGGCCTTCTCTCTTCACTTGGTCAAGCATTCTTTCCTCCCTGCTCCTCCTCCCATTTGTCTGTACGCTTTTGACTCAAGTTGCCCTTAGGCATGAGGCCGCTCTACCTGCCCGACTACACTATCCCCTTTCACAACCTCATGATCCAGTTCTCCACCCTAAGGGAACTGTACAGAGAAGCTGGGGAAGTGGGGGGTAGGAGGCAAAGGCAGAACTTAGCATCTAACTGCTTATTTATCTGGGTTAAATGTTTTATTCAAAATATGAAGAACCATCAATTACCTCAGCTATGGCTCAGGATGCCTTTGGGAGACTGAGTGGGAAAGCATAAATGAATGATACTGATTATGATCTAGAAAAAAAAATAGTTCCTTTGACCCCTCCTCTATTTGGGGGCTCTCCAGAAGTAAAGATCACTGGGAAGAAGGAGCATATCCTCACATTCAGTTTTTCATCTAAACAGCTCAAGCCTCTGACAACACCCCTACATACCTTAGTTTGACTTTGCTGCCTGAGTCTCGTTATTATAACAGCCTTCACTCATTGGAGAGTTCTGAAGATTTGATTATCTAGCTCATGAACTTTCTGAGTCTTTTGTTCATTTTTGCTGGGTTTCCTATTACCAAATTTCTGCATTTTGACCAAAAACTGCACCTTAATATCCTAAAGAAAATGTGCATAAGTTGGTTGAGAAAACAAGATTCAGACCATTTCACTTTGGTCTCCTTAAAAGCTCTGGCGGACAAGATGAACACCCACGACTCAGTGCAGTTCACAGATAACTGTGGCTTGTTCCAGGACACATGTGTTCAATCATTTTGAAACTTCATTTTATTTTGATGTATGAATATTTACCTTTGATTTTATCTGCAGGAATTAGGCAAGTAGAAGCTGACTGCAGGTTCATAGAGTTTGAACACTCCCTTCCACAGAACCTTAACTACAAGAAGAGACCTAAAGCTTAACCCAGCTATCTGACAAAAAAGTCCCTTCTAGAATGCAAAGGTATCAATAACTTCCTGAGATATCACTGTTATATCCTCTAGATGTCACCTTGAGAACATTCCAGGATGGAAAAGGACTGTTTTTGAACCACACAGACAACTTAAAATTCACACTTCTAAAACTTTGCATATCTGGATCAATGGGCTGATTAAAAATTTTTTTTTTTTTGCTAATTATCTTAAAGATTAAGTAGTGTTCCTTATTAAGTTTAATTCATAAAATGATCTAGTTTCTCTTTGACAGGTTTTCTTTAGGGTTTCTCCCACCAAGAGAAACACAAAAACCCTCTCTTAAGAAGTAGTTCCTATGGACCTAATTTCTCTTGAATACAACATTCTTCCCTGAAGAGCCTCCTGAAAACATTTTCCAGTTTCTAAAGCTGTTCATCTTCATTACCTGAAGCATTTGAGGGAGGAGAGTGTAGAAAAGTTTCAAGGTAGAAATTAGTTATTCCTGGAACCTTAAGAGCTTTTAATTATGGATGGTTGCCCAATCAATTGTTTCTCTTTAATATGCCAAGACTATAACAGGCCAATAACCCACTCATTTGGTCATTCAGTTCATTCAATCCGAATGAGCTGTCAGGTAATTCATTAAGGATTTCAAGCAGCTGAGTGCATTCAATCAATCTGGAGACTGGGGAGGATAGAGAAAAACTTTTACAAGTGATTTAAGGGAAACTTGGAATTCCGGGTGTTATTTCTCTTAATAAAAGATTTAGTTTGGGGTCTGATTTTCAAAATTTTCAGAAAAACCTGGGGCAATCATTTTCTTGTTAAGAAAGTGTTCTGCAATACAGAAAAAGTTTGCAGAGCCAGACTGATAGGATGCCCGAGACAATCTTTTTTAACAACTTAACCTTACTTTCCAAAAATAGGAGACTCCTAGAGACAAAGAACAGACAGGAAGCCCATGAAGGAACCAACTCACAAAAGTGCAATTACTGTGGCTCCCTGAGGCATGGCACTAGGTGCTAAGAAGACAAGCTCTACCTATCCCCACAGCTGTGTGAGAGGTCTCTTCTGTCCTATGGGGCAGTGACTCAAACGTGCTCCCTGATCACCCCTGGATCACTTCCAGGACTGTGCGCAGATCCTGGCAAGTGCTGGAGAAAGGAAAAAGAAAGACAACTTTTGGTGAAATGTGGAAGAAGAACCTTCACTTAAGCAGTTCCACAAGGAACTACTTCTAAATACAAAAACAGTTTCCTATTAGAGATGTGTATCTTGTTATAAGAAGGGAAAAAAGAGAGATGCTTAGTAACCTTACAATAAGGACACCTACTGGAAGCATCTTCTTTCAGGGTCAATTGCCACTATTTCTCCAAAATAAAGATACGGGTAATTTTAGAATGGGAGAGAGGCCTGCTATGTGACCTTTATGTAAACTTTCCAAATTATACTATTCAGGAAATATTAGCAATTATATATCACTTGATGCAGAAAAATTACATGTTAAACAAAACTCCGTAACTGGGAAAAATAAGCTCAGTATTTCGAAACGTGTTTATAAATCAGAGCTGTACTCTGACTCAGATGTTGCCAGGTGAAGTATTATCAGTAGCAATTCTAAATTCTCAAAATTAACGGCCTTCTTCTGGACTAATAAAATTTTAAAGCAATACAATTCATTTAATGAGAAATGTGCAAAGAACCACACATCGAGCATTTTATATTTTGACTTTGTGCTTAAGAGTTAGAACACTGATTCCCAGAAATAGTTCAGTGAATTGGGCTGCAATCAATTCAGAGTAGGAATAAATCATTTAGGAAGCAAGACTGTAAATCATTTTTTAAAACCTGATCTGTTGATCGTCTTTTTGCTCTCAAGACCCAGACTAGAGAACAGAACTAAACTAAGTTTTTACAAAACAGTGTTTTATGGGTAATCTTTTGTTTTAAAATCATCTACTGGAAAAGATAAGAAATCAAGGAGAAATGAAAGTAGGTGATTCTCAGAACTCTACTCATCATCCTCTAACAGAGGAACCCTTAGGTTCAGGCACCCTAAGATATAGTGTCAGAAAAAAGGTGAGACGCTGTCTCTGGTGTTCAAATGAGACTTGGTATCTATCCCACTCTTTACCTGAAGAGTCAAAACCAGTAACTTGCACCTCGCAAATGTCTCTTGAAACACTAGGAGGTTTATGGGGTGACTTATATTAATTCAGCATTCAGTACTCAGTACTTTTTAAGCTTTCTGTCTAAAGGGTCAACAGGACAGGTTGAACAGGGAAAGCCAGATGAAACCAAGAATCAAGAATCAAGGTCCAAGAAGAAAGAGAAGGGACTCAGCATTAAAAGCAAAACAGGTGAACACAAGCATATAAGAGAAGACACCAGCAGGACAAAGAGCATTTCTCACAATTCCGAAGGCACCCTCGACACCTAAACCGACACCAAGGAAAGCCCATAAAAGCAGTTTGTAGAGCAATGCCAACGCTTTGCTTGTCCAACTGAGGTCAGGGCTCTCGCTGCAGAAAGCAACTCCTGGTGAATGGGTAAGGTGGTCACTTCTGCCCAAATCACTGCAAAGCAGGAACAGTGACATTAACCTTGTGCTACTTGGGAGACGTTTCAATTGTGAGGTTTGTTGTCACCAGGAGGGAAAAGTATTTCAACTGGAAGGCAGTGACCCTGTAAGGGTCATCATCAATCACCTAGGGTCAAAGACCTTCCCAATTGTAAGAAGAGGCAGGGGGTAAGGGAAAGAGGGCAGAGAGAAGATCAAAAGCCCTTTGATGGGGTTATCTACCTACACAATAGAACCTGCAAAATGGAACTCTCTGGAGTTTGAAACCTCCCAGATTCTAAGGTGAGAGATTTCAAGAGGGATTTAAAAAAAAAAAAAACAAACTTGGATTCTTAAGATGAAGAATGAAGTCAGCAGATGGCAGAAGAGGCCTAGAGGCACAGGTATTAATATGGCTGCCAGTTTCAAGGTTTGTAACAGCAGAGAACCTAATATTATTTTCTTCTTCTACAGTATTAGTGGTAGAAAGGAAGAAACCCTGCTACCTTTGTAGTTGCCAAATGGCAAAGTAGCTCCACTTGAACTGCCAGTGGTACTAGATTTTAGCTGCTGCAAATACACTTATTTGTCTTCTCTTTGTACAATGCAATCACAAAGAGGGAGGCTGGGAAGTAGTCTTCGCTCTTCAGTACAACCACTGGAAAAGCAGTCAGGGTCTGCAGGACCCTTTCTATTAGTGATGACACATTCTTTGCTACTGTTATGTTGCTTGATGAACCTTAGAAGATTAAAGGCAATGCTGGATACAGAGGACTCTCCTGGTTAGAGGGGTGTGGATCAACTTCATTGGGTATAGACTCAGAGGAAGAGAAGGGGCAAATTTAACTCAGAAAGAAGCTCCACTGAATTCCTGGTTACTCACTTGATGCACTTTTTTGTAGTATTTTCAAAAAGAATCATTAATATCGAGTAGAATCTATCCTATCCCCGGGATGCCTTTCCCTATTAGCTGGTGAGTGGAGTTATTTCAGGAACACAAACAATACGAGCCTTTTAAAAACTCACTGAAGATGTTTATAAAAATAATTATTTTAAGAAATAAAACATACTACAGAGCAATATAAATGGCTTTCAGATTATGAGCTGTTTTGATTAGCCATGCCCTAGATGCCTGCAGCCTACTCCCATTAGCATGGATAATTGAGAATCTGCTGTATTTCCATTTTAACGCAGTCTCTCTAATACATTTCAGGCATTCAGATGGAAAACCAAACCTCTGATTATTATTTCACCTTACATGAATTTAGCACAAGGCACTAACCTCTATATAGTCCAAAGAAGCCTTCATAGCGTAGCACTTTCTTAAAACAGTCAAAGCTGTTTTTATACATTAGTTCTCCCACAAAAGAGCCAGTTGATCTTTGGTTCTGCATTCGAGTTTTTACAAGATCAATAGGATACACAGCAGTGGCTCCAACAGCTAAAATCAAATGATATCAATATTTCAGAAGGATTAAGGTTAATCAGGAGGAAAGAGGGAGGTGGTTTAAAGTCAAAGAGAAGACCAATAAAAGAATGAAATTTTGCATGTACAGATTATAAATCTTTACTAACTTTTGATACCTTAATTAACAATTGTGGATTTTCAAGTGTCTCCTAATAAAAGGATGTCACAGACAGTTAAAAAGCCCATCACTAGAGCCTAACCCCATTATTAACCTGACTTTAGAAAGCCTATCTACAGATACACAAGAGCAAAAGTCACTCCCATGACCCTGATCATGCACAGGCATGGGAAAAATGTGCCTTTTGCTCTTGTCCCATCTCATGAACACAGACTGGTAACTGGTTTGGGGAAAGACTAGACACATCTTGTCTTTTAACATTTCAAGGTGAAAATAAGAAAAAGAATAGAAGAATGAAAATAAAACATTTTTCACTTATTCATGACTAACCTCCAGCAATAGAACCCAGACCAAACCTATAGGCCGACTCTGCAACTTGTAGAAGAACTGGTCGAGATGAATCGACTGAGGACTTCTTTGCATGCACAGGAATTGGAGAACAGCAATGCAGGGGACAGAAAAGAGGACAGAGCAAAATTGAGCACATGTTATTTGAAAATCACCCAATGGGCTCTAAATTCATGATGTAACTTAGAATGTCAAAGAGGAAAGTAGGGTTAGATACTTTAAGTGCTTATTAATGAAAGGTTATTACTGCTATTACTATTTAAAATCTAATCGAACATAATGAAAGCCATTATGTACCCCTCAAAAAACACTATAAACCTATCTTCAAATGCTTGGTTCTCAGTAGTGAGCAAGGAGATACAAATTTAAAAACATTAATGAGACATCATTCTTAATCAAAGTGGTAGAATTTTGCATATTTTATATATATATATATATATATATATATATATATATATATATACACACACACACATATACAGCAATTCCCAACTTGGCAAGAGTTGATAAAAATGGTGCTTCTCAAACCTGCTATTTAATCAAATATAAAATAAAGGGGAACTTGGTAATAACGGTCAAACTCTTAAATGTATATAATCTCTGATCCTGCAATTCTAAGACAAGGAGACAAAGTTAGCTAAAAAATAAATCATGTATGAAAAGCCAGGATCAAGCAATGTGAAAAGCAGTACTGTTTTAAGAGCAAAAACTCTGAGAATAACCTAATTGTCCAATAATTGAGGATTATTGCAAATAGCATAGCCTTTAAATTAAATAATATGTCACTAAATATGACATTGGTAAATAATACATGATGAGAAGTAAAATACTCATCCGGTATTATAAGTGAAAACAGATAAAAAAAGAATATGGCAGATAGACAAGGAATTCATGACATGATTCTCTTTACCTTTCAGTATTTGAAATATTTCTTGATCATCTTTAACAAATGTTAAGGACTATGTGCAACATGTTCTGTTTTTTTAAAATTAGTTATTGGTGTAAATTGATAAAATACATGTTACAAACACATATATACAACTAACATTATGGCTATTCCACCATCCAGAGGTATTTAGAATATTTACAGTGGCTACAACAAGAGGGGGTTGTATTATAGGAGATTGTGACTATCTCATTTAGTCCATCTTTTCTAAATTCATACTTTTGGTTAGTCTGTTATTTTGTTTTTTTTTAATCTATTATCTTTACAGTATCTTTTATGACAGCAATTTCTCTGTCTACATAAATAAAGTAGTAATTTTATGTCACACAGAATTATCAAATGAGGGTGGCATACAGTTAGTGCTTAATAAATTAACTGCTGAGTGAATAAATACATTCAATAACATTTGTTTTTCCAAAAGTCATGATAATTAAAATTGGTGAACAATGAAAATAATTGCCATCCCCAGCTATCAACCCACTGAATTTTAGTGGCTGTCAATGTAACACAATTCTAATATGAGATCATTTGGAATTTCCTTCAAAGCCATTTAACTGAAAATAATCTTACACAGAAAAACGCATTTTTAAGAATGTAAAAGACTTCCACAAATTCCATGGGGTGTTTCCAACTCTACCCTAGCACAGAAAGAAGCAATAGTAACTCCATGTTGACAGATACACCCATAAGAATGACCCTGTTTTATTTACATGAATATAAATATGCAGTACTAGGGAAGTTCTGGCATCAAAAGATAAGTGAAAATACTTTGGAAATAATAAGGCGGGGGGTGGGGAAGTGGAAGGGAGAAACCACTTTGACAAATTCCTTATTTCAAAGATAAAGTAAATGACATCCCAGACTTTTAAAAACTTTTTTTGAGCTAGAAACACAGTCTGCTCATGAGATGAGACCAGAGAGGCTACAATTCCTTTGCTCCGGTATGGAGCCAGGGTGTCAGGCAGCCCACAGGGTGATGACCTCCCTCGCTGGGGCCTGTCAGTGTTGCCCAGTCCCTGGGGATTGCAGGGTAAAGCATATTCCAGACAAATACGCTGTGAATCACTCTAAACTTCTAAGCAGCAGCCAATCATTTCCTGTTTTAAATCTCACCAATCCATTCTAACCCTTTCATAGCTGTATCAATGAGCACCCATCAGAAACTCTCAAAAGCTGCAGACGGTGGAAGGGAAAAAACGTGGGCTATCACTGCCAGCTAGAAAATAAGCAGAATCTAAGAAAAACAAAAATGAAGGAAAAAAACCTATCTGCTTTTTCTTAATTCCCAAATTTCTACCGCAGTTAATAGCACAGAGCCAGAGACTCTCTAGCAAGCAGTGTTTAAAAATCAAAGGGAAGGGAGAGCAAGGTTGCCTCCACCTCTGCCTGGGACTATACAGTTCTCTCCCCGGCTGGCTTCCTCTTTTAACAACAGCTGCTGGTTTTCCAGAGGTGCCTAGTTTGGATTTACTGAGTGCACACCCACTACTTTGAGTTATACACTGCACACAAAATTCAGCCACTGCATTCGGGTGGGAAAGAACTGGAAGGAGGGGGTCCTGGCTCAAGGCCTGCCAGTCCTAAAAATGTAGCCCGCATCAACCCATTGTGGTCACACTGGCGTCTCCGCGCAGACCCAGAGCTCCGAGCCAAAAACTGCTAAGTCTCTCGGGATTCAGAGATGGCTTCGCCTTAAAGGAGGTATTTTTCTAAAACGACGACGCTCGTCTGTGAGTGGATTTATTTTACAAACATCATGTAAGCACAACACACACTCTGAAGGCTTTTATTCTCTAATCCTGATCTATAGAAAGTCGGGCAAGAGTTAAATGAGGAGGTCCCATGTCTTAAGTTTCTGACTCCCACAACTTCAAGAGATCGGTTTCTGTTAACCATAAAATAAAATTTAGCATTCCTCAAATTGTTTCCACATAACTTATGAATCCTTTCACAGAGAAAATAGGTCTAAAAGCCTTCAAACTATGACTCCAGACTAAACAAAATTATCTCATTTTGATATTCAGAGAAACGGAAGGCATGGCAGTTAGACAATGTGCGGACCGAGTGCCTTTCTGCCGAGCAGATGCAGCTTTCATTTAGGAGTGCACCGCAGGGCCAGGGACAGCGACACCAAAACAGGAATATGCTCCTCTCAAGAACAGATTTAGGGAAAATGAAAAGATCTGCCTATTTTTGGAGTGTTAGACTTCCAATGCAGTTGGGAAATCAGCCCATCTCTGAAAGAAACAAGCAAATGCCAATTATCTGTTAATCAGAACATTCCCAGGTAATTTCTCTTTTCAGCCTTTTGTGATTGTCTTGATTTTTGGGTGCAAAATGGAAAGACAGCAGGTCAGCTACCAATGCCAAAAAGGTAATCACAAATGAGAAGTGTTGGTGTATTCTACTAAGAGCCACGGAAAATATGGTTTTTTCCTTCTTGCCCACCTGCCTCTGGGTCTCAGCCAAGTTGAAAGGTAGAGTTCCCTCTTCCAGAGGAGCAATTCGTTCAATGTCTGCTAAGGTCATACGTCTGGAGGGGAAAAACAAACAAAAGCAGCAACAAAATACCAATTTATTAAAATTCACAATATGGAATTTTAAAACATTCCCTTTTTTATTTCAGAGTTGTCTTATTTTCTCAAAGATTGCTGAACTCCCCTGCTAACCTTCTTTTATTAAGCTAATTAAAAAAAGAAAAGAAAAAAAATGAGAGGCCAACTTACCCCCGTGGTTCATATAAATCTGCTAACTGAAACAAGATGTCAACTTCCATGGGTGTAACCTGACCAAATTTCTGAGCTGCCAGAACAAACTCCTCTGTATGGAAAAAGAGTTAAAAGGGAAAGATTCAAGAAGGAATAGCCACTAAGTCTTGCACTAACTCAAGGCACTGGAATGAGTGACTATCACAGAACTTTATTATAATTATCGGTCCTAGAATTCTACTCCATCCAATTAGGGCAACATTTTTGCGGTGCTTTCATTCATTAGAAAGAGTATGCATCATGTGTTCGCTGATGTTGGCTTTGAAATACTAGTGTCATCAGAAGCCTTAACTAAATGACACAGGAGAAGGTCATTCAAACTGCAGGTCAGGGAAAAAAATGAGAAAGCAGAAATGAAATTTTGTTTGTATGGATCTCAAAAGGTTAATGAAGCTGTGGAATTCCTAAGGGAATTCTCTATTTTAAAAATTCCCATTGAAATGCTGATAATAACTTGCTCCAAGATTGTAGGTCAACTCATATTGTCACCAACATAAGTTTATGGAATTCTTCATGTGTTTCTGAAGGCCACTTTTGAGGTTGTCAATTTAGCTCAGATTTTAGTAGAATTTGAAAATATTTAAGAAATTCCACATGGTTCCCTAATTCAATGGCTGTCTTCAATTTATTTAAAACTGACTAAAGACTGTTTTGTTTGCTTTGGTTTGAGCAAGGGATGGAGAACACATATGTACCATATAGTTAATATATGTCAATGGGATAGAAAATCTCTCCATAAAATCTTGGTTGTCTTCTTCCCCTAATAATAATACACCAAGATATTTGTAGACAAGAATTCAGATTTATTCTCACTCACCCTTAGTCACCTCTACATCTTTCCTGCTGCCAGCCAGAGTACTGTAGATCTTTCTAATGAGTTCCATGTTGTTAAGGAGCGAGTTAAATCCATTAAAATAGGAGAAACTAACTTGATGGGACGTGGTACCACCAGCAGCCTTGAGTAAGTTAAAAATAAGACAGGAGAAGAAAAATAAACAAAGGGATTTATAGGATGAAGAAGATTCAGAAGTACATATATCAAATGTTACTTTTGGAAGTAATCAAGAACACTTGGATAAGAAGAAATGGCCATAAGTATTTTTCTTTCACATTAAAAAAAAAGCTATAAATGATTTTTAGAAGTAACTGCAACTAATCATGACCAGAACTTGTCCTCTACACACACAACTCCTAGAAAACTAAATAAATACATGTGTAGGATTATAACAGGACCAGTAGTAATTTACAGAGTTCAAATTTCAATAGAAAATGTTTTATAAGCTTGCTTATTTCATCTAATGAGCAATTCTTAAAGGCTCATATATGCAAAATTATACACATGTACACATGTGGGTGCTTAGATATACAGAAGTATATTATACCAACACAAATATACTATACAAAGTGAACAATCTAACATTAATATCACAACTTGTCATGTTATTATAACTAGTAATAAATAATCATTTAAGTGCAGACTTTACATTAGTAGGATTTCCAGCAAACAAGCGCATTATGGTGAAATTATGAGATGTCATATGCTTTGATGGGGGTTAAGACTGAATTCTGATAATCAGAATTTGCAAGAAACCGTATTTCCTCACAAGGAACAAGGGAGACAGACAGCATGTCCATTCTGAATGGAACTTCAGTTTGGGGTTTCAAATTCAATCCTTCCCTAACAAGGCAAAATAGTTTTATTAGGAAAGCACTTCTTTATAAGGTAACTACATAAATCTTCACTTAGTAATCATTTAAAATAGCTGACATGAGCGTTTAGAATGGAGTTAAGGGAGGGGGGCCAAGAAAAGGAACTAGATTAACAACACAGTGCCAGAATGGAAAAGGCCTTGTGAGAATGCCATGTCTCCAGAAAGAGGCACCAGGAAAAAAGGAAAAATGAAAAGCTATCCTGAATTCCTGCCTAAGGTGAGCATTGTGAAAAACTCAGATATGATGAAAACACTGAAAAAGTCCTCTCTCTGGGATTAAAAACAAAGTTACCATTGAGTAATGATTCCCAAATCTGAATGACCTGCAGGATCATCTAGGAAACTTTAGAAATTAGATTTTAGGACCTCACCACCCACACTTAGTGATTGAGCAGGCTTGGAAAAGACCACAGGATGTGCATTTTTAATAGTTTTCCCAGTGATTCTTATGCACTTTGACCAAGGTTTGGGAACCACCACCATAGAATGCTCCAGGACACCCTGTATCCATGGTTAGGACAGTGGCTGGAAATCCACTAGGACAGATGCTCCCGGACACAGGACAGCAAGGGTCCCACCTCTCACATGTGCCACTATCATCTCACATGTGCATGTTGAATGAAAAAAAAAAAAAAAAAAAAGCATAGGCTTTAGAGTTTCTGTTCTACTGATGACTCAAACAGACCTACCTGTACGCTTTCATTTTTTTTTAAAGATTTATTTTTATTTTTATATAAGAACCAGGGTACAGGCCAGATGCGTGGGAGGGTGAGGGGATTCACCAGAGATAGAGCGGGGAACAGAACAGGCAGACTGAAGAAATACTGAGGGGAGCAGTGGGCAAATCAGGAGAGGTCTGCTGCTCCATGTGGGATTCTCGCAGGCTGGTGGGGATCGAACCCGCACTGCAGAGGCCGCAGACAGCTTCACAGTGCAGCGCCCAACAGCCTGCACCACCAGGGAGGCCCCTACTTTTTAAATTTTTTGCCTTGCAGAATAGATGAAAGCGAAGACTAGCATTTAACATACCTCAAAATATATAGCAAAGCTAAAATGAGGCCATACATTTGTTTTTCCTTTTTTAAAATCAGTTTGGTTTCTTTAATATAGTCCATATTATCCAGATAACAAATTACCTTGCTCACTAAAATTAGCCAAAACATACTCTTTGTAGACTTGGGAATGTATATGACCACAATGTTAGTGTTTTAAACAGAAAAAAAAAACGCTACTTTATTTATAGGAATTGTTCTATAATTCCTTATGAAGTCAGGTAGAATAAACTACTTTATCAGGGCAAGGTACAACTTACAGCTACGAGGCATTCTTCCACAAAGGGTGTCAACACATGGGGGCGGATGGTGACCATGATGTCTCGAAAGTCTATGGCTGTGACTCTTCCCGTCTTGGCACTATCCCTTTGCACAAAGGCCTGCTTTGCATGCTCCAGTTGTATTTCCTGCAAATAAAGATGAAATCCTTAACTTATAGTTCTCACTTAATTACTATAAATGACAGCTCCATTTCAAGCCAGGGTGAAGAAATCTAGTTGACATCTTGATTTAACAAGCCCCAGCCCTGTCTCCAAACTACTGTCTCCTTCCAAAGAGAGAACTTCGTTCAGATCAGTGAACATGTCTTGAGGAGGTGCACTCCACCTTAAATCTCTTACCCAAGGAAACCAAATCACTTCCATGCTCTGCTAGAGTCCAAGCACACAAAGAAAATAAAGACTGGAATGAAGTTTGGTAGGCTCAACAATCTGGCCAAATCCAGCTTAAGTGATGCAGGTGATCAAAGGAAAAAAAAAAAAACCACCTACAAGGACATTAACTTCTGTCCAAAGAAGAGAGAAAAAAATCTTAAAGGTAATAATAACCTGGTACACAAAAGGTGATATAACACGAGGATGAAAAGGGCAGTTCTCTAGAAATGCTATTCCTCTCACACCACCTTAATTCTACCAATATTTGGGTCAGGTGAAACCTGGGGGTGCTCTCTGGTCCCCACCCTCTCTCATCCTATTTGATGAGGGTGGCCCCTTCTACCCAAGGCCATGACAATCAAAAATATCTCCAGACAGAGCCATATGCCCCTACTGAAGACCACTGCTCTAGAATTAGGAGTTGGCCGGTATGCGGGTCAGAGGGAACACAATTGGGGCAGTACTATTGGATGAGTGTTTTCATCCATATGATCTCAAGACAGAAGGCCCAATCTTAGGTTTCTAGTATTAATCCCAGGGGTATCCACAAAATAAAACAGCCTTGCATCAAAACCTATCTTCCATGGAGAGGCATCCCTTTTGCAAAAGAGCATCTATCATTTTCCTCATGACACACTGCCCTATTCCCAAATATGCGAGTGTGAGAGCAAATCTCTGCAGTTAAAATACATCACTGATGTGGCTCTCACAAACTTCAAGTTATTTAAATGAAAAGAAGTTTTATTAGATTATATGATATTGAAGAATTAATTGTTTAAACTTTGGTGAAATAATGATATAGCTGTATAAAAACTAATTGCCCTTGTGAAGTAGACCAAAATTAAGTATGAGAGACTTACATGAGTCTGAGAATGTTTCTAACTCCCTTTTCTTCCCTGAAAAAGGTGGGGAGATGAAGGAAAACAGATTACTCATAATAATTGAAACTGGATAATGGGGACATGCTGGGTCAGTGTACTTTTCTCTATATTTTTGTGTACTGCAAAAGTGTCTATGATAAAAACTTAAAAAAGACAATATAAAGTTAAGAAGCAGAGTTCTTAATCTATTCACAAGCCTCATCTCAGTTAAAGCATTTGCCAGTTTGGGGCTAGCTTGCCACTACTAAAACTCTCTTTGAGACCCTAATCTTTCAGTGCCTCCTCCACTCACTCCTTACCTGAGAAGCAAGTATCAGCCCTCCTCACTGTACCTTCCCAGGTAAAGGCCTCCCTTCCCAATAGCTTAAAGATTTCTTGCAAGGCTGGACTCCCAGGTCCCATCCCTCACTCTCATCTGCTAGACTAGAACTTCTAATTGCTTAGAGAACACATTCAGGTAGGTATTTTATAAAGGCAACAAAACTCCATGCCACTAAATCCACTATTAAATGCTGTTCCACCTGCCCTCAAGTCTGGTCCCTTTCCTCTGTTCAAAGCTTAATTACTGCCATGTTGTTTTTCTGATCATTTACCCAAGAAATACGTCATCTTCAGTTTTTCAAAATCCCTTTCCCCAGGGTAAAAAAGCAGTTACCTAAGTTAACCAACTAAGTCACTTGGACTTTGAAAGTTCACTCAAACGATCTCTAACTTCTCACCCCTGATGTCACTGGTTCCGGCCATCCACAGACCTCCCCTGAAGTACCACCATGGGCTCAACTGTCAGAGTGGCACTTCTCTGACTTCTGCAGGCCACTTTGTACACATCAATAGCTGCCTTTTAGAATCTCAGCTCTGACCTCAATCCTCCTCCACAGAAGCCTTCAACCGTCTTTCATCATAAAGATTCATCCCAGAAGCACAGCACTCAAGATCTAGAGGGAGCAACTCAGCCTCATCTCCAGTACCTCAGGTCAGCCCTGCCAGACCCTCCCCACAGCTGGGTCTTTGTACACACTCCTCCGTCTACCTGGCACAGCCGTGCCTCTTCCTCCAGCTCCTCCAGGTTTAGCTCAAATGTCAGCACATATGTAAATATAACTAGGCTTCTGAACTGAAAATAACTGATCAGAGTTCACGTGACACACCCCCCCAACCCTAAACCTTAATTATAAGACTTGTCTTATTTCATCTTACATGAAAACCAGTTGTTTACATTCCTAACTCTTTCCTACCTTGCCAGGGGAGAGACTACGTTGTGTTCACCCCAGGTATGGCGTGAATGCTTTAGATCTAGCAGACACTCAATAAACAGAAGACATACTCATCAGTGTCAGGTACTCTATCCAACAAACCGAATGAACAAATCATGACCTATTGAACAAAAAGGGGTTCTCTGTACAAGTGCCTTCAATTTAAGAGGAAGGAAAAAATGGATTGCTAAACATCCTGTAGTGAAAAATGACCACAGTATGTATTCAATTGAAAGTAAATGAACAGTCTCCTTTGAATTGCCAGACCCACTGCTAAAGCCATCATGAGTGACGATTACTCTCAACAATGGTGGAAGGTATGTTCAGTTGAGAGTAGAAGGTATGTTTAGTTATTTACCATTTCCCCTAGTTTAAAACTCAAATTGGGTCTTGGGGCCCCTCAAAATGTCATTAAAAAAACAACATCATTTTCACTGTCCACCCCATCTCCTCAGAAAGGAGGAAGCTGGAACATATCTGAAACACCAAATTGGAAAATGAACACCAAAGTGGGGGCCCATGCTTACTCCGCAGGCCAGGAGTTGTGTCTGTAATGGTGTCAGCACACATTCCTGTCCCTGCACTTCCACAATGAAACCCTCCCTAGCAGGGACCCTTGATCATGAAACAAGAAATACTCCCAACCTCAAAGATGAACAACTGGACACCATCTTTTCAACAGTGCTTCAAGATTAGGCACATTGTGGATCTATATAGTTCTCTAAATAGTAGGATATATGAAAACACTTAGTTAGGTATTTCCCCAACTTTAGAAGCAGCTGGCTGTAGTTCACCTCCTAAGAAATACCTGTTTATGTCATTTCTTCTTTTGAGTGAAGAAATGAAACTATTAACCATCACAACTGCCACAACAGCGACATCTAGTGAGCATGGATTAGGTGTCAGACACCGCTCTGATGTACATCATAAGGATCACCCACCTAATGCTCACAGCAACACTGTGCACTGGTCCTATTGTTAACCTCCTGGCAGCAGCTGAAGAAACTGAGGTCTCACAGACAGCAGCAAAGCAGGAATTCAGACCCAGACAGTGCCACCCCACTTATATGCCGCTAACACTTCACTATACTGCATGGGGGTGCCTGAGTAATTTCTACTACTGCCAGGAATTTGATTACAAAATAGATTTGACACTTAAGAATCTTAATAGCTATGAAAAGAGAAAAATTCAATTTGCTTTTAAATTATTCTTAGTGCTCTAGATTTTTCTGTCACCTATTTTCATGAGAAAACAATTCCTAAAAGTTTCTCATAAAGGCAGCCGTCTTCTGTGCCCTCAGCACACCAAGAAAGTTCTAGCAACAATAGAGAGACCATGGAGGAGAGAGAGCAAATCTAAAAGGCAGCCTTCTGCCCTTACTATATGTCTTCTTGTGACTCTGAGAGACCAAGAAGACAGGTAAAGAAGAATACTTAATTCAAAAATGAATGACCTTTGAAATTAACTACCAGGTTTACTATTTAAAAAATCAAAGTTCTGGGCCTCCCTGGTGGTGCAGCAGTTGAGTGCTGGGTTGCAAAGCTGCCCGTGGCCTCTGCAGCACCGGTTCGATCCCCAGCTGCTCCCCGGCCACCGGAGGAGGGTCCCACATGGCGCGCAGACCTCTTCTGCCGCCCGCTGCTCCCCTCAGCAGTGTACTTCGGTCCTTCTGCCTGCTCTGCTCCCTGCTCTGGCTCTGGTGAATTCTCTCACCCTCCTGCGCTTCTGACTGTACCCAGTGCTTGTATGTATGTATGTATGTATAAATCAATCAATCAATAAATAAATCTTTAAAAAAATAAAAAAAAATAAAAAATCAAAGTTCTGTACTGGTACCTGTAAAGCTATTTAAGGAAAACTGAGGGTTACTGAGACAGGAATGGTTCCTACATCTGAACTCAGAAGGACAAAACTGGGGCAGAGCATTTCAGAATGCATGAAATATGGTGTATATAACATTATGATCATTACAGTCCAAAATGAAAATCATTACATACATGCAAGAGAGGGAGCAGTGGGAGAAGCAACAAGTACAAATTGCATTTAAACTTAATGTATAATTGCAACAGGTTAAAAAAGAAAAGACTGGTGCTCTGAAGTTCTTTAAAAAAAACAATCAGTGGAGAGAAAACAGAGGGATCAGATCTTAGCATAAAACACAGAAGAATTTCACCTCAGAGCCACACAGCAGTGAAATGGGCTACCTTGCAAAGTAACAGATTTCCTGTTACTGAAAATATTTGTTCAACTCCAGGCTGAGGAACATATGTGAAGTAGTTTGTTTTATTTATTTCAATAGAAGGTGTTATGAAAGCAGTATGTTGCACAATTTGACAAAAATCTGAGTTTTGGAACAGGATTGGGCAGAGCCCAAATAATCAGTCATAACACTGTCAGCCGGGTAGGTTTAGGGGGAATGTGCTTGCATCTGAGAGCATTACATTCTCTCCTCCACAAACAAGGCCCAGAAACACCTACTGTGTTGGGTTGTAAAAACTAGCCGTTACGCATGACAGACAAGTAATAAATGACCCCTCTGACTTTTGTCTACGTGAATGGTTAAAAGACCTTTGAAATCTCTTCCAATATTAGTTGAGCCTTTTCAAACAAATCACTTAG